TTTTTTGTAAAAACAATGAAATTTTTTTATTCTTTTGTTAAAATTATTAAGTTAACATTTTTGGTTGAATTTTTTGAGCGAGTTATAAATTTTATGTTACCAAAAGAAAATTACTTTTTAATAAATAAATTTAAGGTGATTTTTTTGGATAAGTATTTTGGAAAATTATTTTTTTTATGATAAGTTTTACTCGCAGAAAAGCCAAAAAAATGTCTAAAGATTAATTTTACTCTTTAATTAACATTTTTTTTTTTGAAAAAAGTTCATTTTCTTGAAATTAATTTTTTAATTAATTAATTAATTAATTAATTAATTAATCAAGAAAATTTTTATTAAAAAATTAACTTCAAGAAAATGAACTTTTTTTTAAAAAAATTTTTTTATTTTATCCAAACAAAAAAAAATTTGTTTGAGATCTAATTAAATTTGAATTTCAATTTTTTAACTAATTTTTTCAAACTAATTTGGTAATCGCCATTTTTTTTGTAAAACAATTAAAATTTTGTACATTTTTAATAAAATTTTTAAGTTAACATTTTTGGATAAATTTTTTGATCGAATTATAATTTTATCTTAATGAAAGAAAATTACTTTTCTAACCAAATAAATTCAAGTTAAGATTTTTTTGAATTTTGGAAAATTAATTTTTTAACATTATTAAATTTTGTTGGATAAATTTTTTTTTGAAGGTTTTTAATAAAGTTTATTGAGTCAATTTTTTTTGTTAACTTTTTTTTAGGAAAAGTATTTTTTTAAGGGAAAATTGTAAATTTAGACACATAATTTTTGAAAGAAATGTAACAATTCTACTGGAGAAATAATTTTAAAATAGTTCAAATTTTTTTTTTTGTAATTAAATATTATTTTGTCTCGTCTTGAATATGGCCTTATTGAAAGAAAAAGGTTTCTATAAAGGTGGTTCAGCCAAGTGTTTCTTCTCATAAATCGCGGTGTACAAGTACTTGTTTCCTTACATCTTAGATAGTAATTATAAAAAATATCGTGCCATTCTTTTTTTTCATACTTTTCTCTCCTTCATGGTGATGTCTTTAAAAAAAAAATATTTCTCCCTCCAAATTCGGTTTTATTTTTCTCGTATTATAATGAAATAAATATCAATCTTTTGCATTGTAGAAAACTAAAAAAATTTTTTTCCTTGTAGAAAGGAAAAGAAGTGAAAAAAATAAAATTATAAGGAATAGAAAAAATTTTACTAATAAATAATAGAAATCGTAATAAAATGGTTTGTGGATAAAATGAAAAATGAAATAATGAGTAGAAAAAATTGTTTAAAAAATTGAGAAATTGGAGAAATAGAGAAATAGAAAAATTTTGTTTTGTAGCTATTAAAAATACGGATAAGATGTGAAAAAAGAGAAAATTTTTTCGGAAAAATCGTGAAATTGACAAAATATGGCAGCGTGTTTTTTTTTAAGCTCTCGTATATGAAAAATGTAGCGACGGTCTTTCCCTGAAAACGGAGAGTTGCAACGAGTAAGGCTCATATAAAATTGCGCCCTAACATTTATCAACACCTTTATAAAATTCCTTTCTCGGTTATTTTTTTTTTCTTTCAAATACACAAACTGTTTTCATATTTTCTTTTTTTTTTACGTCGGTTTAGTACATAAATCGAGGTCGATTCAATTTTCAATACACAAAATTCAATGTCGAGTCGTATAAGATACACTCACAAAATATTTTTTGCCATGATATTATTCTTTTTTTTTATAATATATCGTGTGGGGTATCATCGTTTTTCTTTTCTTGTTTTGTTTTTGTTATATAATATAATTTTTAATATAATATAATAATATCATTATATATTATTTTATATTAGGTAACTATCACTGTGCTTATTTCTGTAACACGTAATAATTGTTTTTTTTTTTAAATTTTTATTTTTATTTTCCTTAAATTTTTAATCTCGTACGTACGCACCCTTCGTTTCACAATATTAAAATTACAAAAACAATATAGAATATATATTGCTTTTTTTTCAAATCAGTTTCAAATTTGATCTGATTGAATGTTTATTTTTCTAAATTGCGTCCTCTCCCTTTTTCGTCAAAATAAAAGAAAAAGCGGTAAATTTTCTTGGTTTTGAAATTAATTCTTTAAAAATTTTTTTTTTTTAATTTATTTTTCATTAAAATTGTCCCTTCGCAATGAGACGAAAAAAGGAGCAAGCAACTCGAATAATAAAAAATAGTTCACTCAGAATCACTCTGCATTATAATTTAATAGAAAATTTCTTTGTTTTTTTTTCTTTTTGCAGCGGTTCTAAAAAACATGAACAATATCATTTGTTCGAAAATATTCTAAAGGAAATATATAATACTGATGATACAGTCGTTAAATTTCATTTTCTTGAAACTCAAGAAATGTGTTCTCTTTATTTTTATTTTTTTTGCTTTTTATAAAATTCATTTATAACAAATACTTTATTATTCGTATATAGATTTACAAAATGGTAAACTAGGGTCTTAAAATTTATTATGGACTTGTAAAAGCTTCTTCAAAAAATAGAATTTTTGAAGAGAAGCGGAATTAAGGAGAAATGTTGATAAAATGGAGAAAAAAAATTGTTTGTGTTTTTTTTCAAAGGGAAAATAAAAGAAAAAAATATATGTTGGAAGGGGGGGTGGGGGAGAGGAAGACTGCAAAATACCAGAATTTAATACGCCGTAACAATTTGTTTTTTTTTTCACGCATACTCTCATTAAAATTCTCCCTCTTTATTTTTTACTTATTCTGATTTTTTTTTATTTCTTGTTTTTTTAATAAATATTCCACGTTAGTCGTAGTGGTATAATGGAACAAATTTTTTTTTTTTATTATGAATAATGTCTTATATAAACATATATGAGCAATAAAAGTAGAGCCAGCTTTATTTTAGCTTGACTCACTCTGCCTCGAGTCGATGCAGATATTTAGAATTTCATTGTATGAGAGACTTTGTTCTTTAAAGTGAAAATATGGCCCCATTGTTACAGGCTCGATGTTGCTTTCAAAAACAAATTCAGTTTCTTTCCTGAGTCTGCAACAGGCGTTCTCATTCTTTTCCAAATCTACACACCTCAATTCTTTCTGTTTTTTTTCTTTGTTTCTTGTTTTCGACTATTTTGAAATAAGTTTTTAAACGATTTTTTTTTTGAAAGACGGAAATGAAATTTTTACATTATTTTTTAAATTGTTGAAATAAATTTAAAACATTTTTTTTTTTTGAAATATGGAAATAAAATTTTAAACGATTTTTTAAAATATTAAAATATGACATAATTTTTTTGAAAGACAAATTTTTTGTCTTGTTTTTAAACAATTTTTTGAAACTATTGAAATTAATTTGGGAATATTTTGAAATAAATTTTAAACGATTTTTTTTGAAAGACGGAAATAACTTTTTAATACATTGCTCTTTGCATATTAAAATAAATATAGAACATTTTTTTTTAAATATAGAAATGAAATTTGAAATTATTTTTTAAAATGCAGAAATAATTTGAAATACTTTTTTTTTGAAATACGGAAATGAATTTTTAAATTATGTTTTAAACTATTGACAAAAATTTGAAATAATTTTTTATAAATACGGAAATAATTTTAAAAAAAAAATTTTTTTTAACGACTGAAAATAGGTTAAAAATATTTAAAAAAATTTTTTATTCTCTGAATTTGAATTAGTAAAAATTTTAACTAAAACTGTATTTTTAATTAAAATAAAATTTATAAAAGTAAATAAAATATTTAAATGTCATAAAATTAATTTATCATAAATATTTACTATTCTTTAAATTATAATTATAATTAACTTCAATTAAAAAGAATTTTATATTAATTTAAATTTATAGCCTAAATACAATTTTATTAATAAAAATTTTAAATAAATTGGCTAATTAGACAAGAAAAAACTTTTTTTTGTGTAAAAATGTGTAAGGTAAAAAATTGAATAATTTATTATCTAATTATTTTTAAAATCGAATAATTAAAGGCGAAATATTAAATTATTAACAAAATTAGCTAATTAGACAACAAAAAACTTCTTTTTTTTGGCGTAAAAATTGGGTAATTAAAAATGTATTAAAATTAGTTTGATAAAAAAGTCTAATTATAAAACGTATGTTTGAAGTTGACTAATTAAAAAAATATTTTTTATTGCTTTCAGAAAGAAAAGTTTGATTTGCTGATTAAAAAGTATTATTTCCTTATTAAAAAAGTATTAATTATTCGCAGGTTAAAAAGTATTAACGTTTTCGGTTAAAAAAATTTTTTCTAATTAAGAAAGTATACTATATTTTAGTGTACGTACTAAAATTTCTAATTATATTTATAAGAAATGTACAAATATCTACTGAATTGTTATTATTATTTTTTATTATTATTATATTATTTTTAATGTTATTATTAATATATTAAAATTTGAAATTTTATTGTTATAAAATAATTTTTTATTATAAAAATTGCTATATTTATGTATTTAAAATTTAAATGAATATATTATCATCAAATTAAATTGAATCTTATTCTTTTGATACTTTTCTGCTTTTTAATAGTTGCTTAATTTGTGTCTAAGTTGAATAATAATTGATTTTGAGTAAAATTTTGACTGAGATTTTACTTCTGAAATAAATGATGGAACTGATTTTCTATACTTCCGAATGTTAAGTATTAAAAGAGTAATAAATGATTTTTGATAGAAAATTACTGATTGTCAAAAAAATAACTAATTAGTAGTACAAAAAAAATTGATGACAGTTATTTTTAAGTAAACGACAAGTAGAAAAACAAATAAGGTAACTTTTACTGTACTTTCGTAGTAAAATCTGAACTGTCTGGAATTTTTTCAAATCTTTGGTAACTTTTTACTATTTCCAGAATTATTTTCACTATTTCTGTTATTTTAATATTAAAATTTAATATTTCTGAAGTGAATTTTTATTATTTTTGAAATAATTTGTACCAAATGGAAATGAAATTATTGTAAAAATTATACCAGAAATAGTAAATATTTTTGGTATAATTTTTACTATTTCTGAAATAAATTTTACTGTATCTGAAATAATTTTGACTATTTCAGGTACAATAGTACTGTAGTAGAATTTTTACTATTTCCGAAGTAAATTTTACCTTCTCGTGTCTTTTTTGTCTCTAAATCGATTATTTTCAACCGATTCAAATTGAAAGCGAAAAGTATTAATTTCAATAAACATCTGTGATGGAAAAAAATTGCAGTTTGCAGATTTAGAAACGTGAATTATGAGCTCTCTTAATAAAATTATGGTACGTAACAGCTTCGTTAGCATTACAATCTTTTTTTCTTAGTGTGATAGTGTGGGACAATTTTTATTTCGCAGCAATTGAAAATTTCCTAAACAAAATTTGTCTTTGAAAAAATTGCCAATTGCTGGAAAATTTCTTATTTCCTATAGAGTTTTCCCGTGTTTTTTTTTCTTCTTCTTCTTCAATCACTCCTAATTGGTTATCCTGTTTCAAAAAGGAGATAATCCTTTAGGCCAAAAGTGTTTGTAATTTGTTCAGATAATATTTCTGAATAAGACGCTCTCGAAACAAGATAAACAATTATTATTTTTTGTTATTTTGTTTAGCATTATAAGTTGTATTATAATAATATTTGTTTTTTTCTATATATTATTATAATAATAGTAATAATAGTTGTATTTTTGAGGAGACTATAATGCACTGAGTGCCTCTCAGAGAGTTGGAACAATGTGTGGTTTGGCAGTGGTAGAGGCTATTTCGGAAAGTTTTACGTCAATGGGAATGCGATCGTCGTATAATGTTGGTGCTTGCAAAATAATTCCTGCTGTTCCAACAATCACGGCAAGAGTGAAGATCCATAGGAATAATCTGTCTAGCACCATCGCCACGTATTTCCAATCCTCCTTCACCTGTTGACAAATAATTGTGGGAAATTAATTTTTTTTTGTTTATTGATGTAAAAAAATAATTAAATGGGTAGTTTCAAAAATTTTCCTCAATTCAATGATTTTCAATATCTACTATTTTAATCAAATTTTTCAAAAGTATTCAATTATTTAAAAAACATTTTAATATAATTCTGCGCAAACATTTAATTATTTTCATAAAATAATTAAAATTTTACGGGAATTCAATTATTTACAATTTTTTATAAATTTCTTCTAATTAATTCAATTATTCTCTTCGAAATAATAAAACTCAATGCAGAATTTCAATTATTTTTAATACAATTTTAATGGAATTCCTCGAAAAGTGTAATTATTTTTAAAACTTTTATTAAAATTCGTCGAAAGAATTCAATTATTTAAAACTATGTTAAAATTCTTTATGAGAATTCAATCTTAAGAAACATTTAATTATTTAATAAATTGTTTTTTTTATTTTGTAAAATTGAATTGTAAACAAATGAATTTGAAAATTATCAAAGAACTTTTTCAAAAATTATTAAAAAATTAAAAATAATGGATTTATAGAAGAATTTAAGTTAAAAAAAACATTTTAAAAAATAAAATTTTGGAGAAATTACAAATTATTGCACAAATTCTTATATAATAAAAATTCTTCGCTAAAATTGAATTAAATTCTTAGGGATTCAATTATTTTCACAAAAAATAATAAAACTCGTCGTAGAATTTCAATTATTTTTTATACAATTTTAATCAAATTTCTCGAAAAATGTAATTTTTCTTAAAAATATTATTAAAATACGTCAAAATAATTCAATTATTTTAAAAAGTTTTCTAAATTTCTTCAATAATTCAATTATTTTCAAAAATAATAAAATTCTTTATGGGACGCATGATTATTCCCCAAATGTCATTTTACCGAACTGCACTTTTGCGAATAGTCATTTTTGCGAAAAGCCATTTTTGCGAAATGTCATTTTTACGAATAGTCATTTTTGCGAAAAGCCATTTTTGCGAATAGTAATTTTTGCGAAAAATCATTTTTACGAATTTTCATTTTTGCGAATTGTCATTTTTGCGAATCGACATTTTTACGAATTGTCACTTTTGCGAATTGACATTTTTACGAATCGCCATTTTTACGAATTGTCACTTTTAGTAATCGACATTTTTACAAAATGTCATTTTGGCGAATAGTAATTTTTGCGAAAAGTAATTTTTACGAATTGTCGTTTTTGCGAATTGTCATTTTTGCGAAATTTCATTTTTGAGAAATGTCATTTATGCGAATTGTCACTTTTGCGAATCGCCATTTTTACGAATTGTCACTTTTCCGAAAAGTCATTTTTGCGAATTGTCATTTTTGCGAAAAATACAATAGTGAATCTATATATTTCTACAAGTTTACTATTGTATTTTTCGCAAAAATGACAATTCGCAAAAATGACTTTTCGGAAAAGTGACAATTCGTAAAAGAGACAATTCGTAAAAATGGCGATTCGTAAAAATATCAATTCGCAAAAGTGACAATTCGTAAAAATGGCGATTTGCAAAAATGACAATTTGCAAAAATGAAAATTCGTAAAAATGACTTTTCGCAAAAATGGCTTTTCGCAAAAATGACTATTCGTAAAAATGACATTTCGCAAAAATGGTTTTTCGCAAAAATGACTATTCGCAAAAGTGCGAATCAAGTTTTTATCATCTATTATACATTTAATTGAGGAATTTACGAATAATTGAAATTTCGTAAAATTGAATATTGTAAAGAAATGAATTTGAAAATTGTCAATGAATTTTTTTAGTTAGAAATGCTTGAAAATAATAATTGAATTGAAATGCTGAAAATAATTTTGAAGAAGTGCAATATTATTATAATTTAAAATAATGATTTTATCACTGTGCCATCTTTAATTATTATAAAATATGAAGAAAACGATATATTTTTATCAGTAATTGGTCTGTTATTTTTCATGTTTGGTCCGTAAAGTCAATTTTTATATACTTTCACTGGTTCGAGCCCTGTATTTTGCATTAATAAAGAAAAAATTTTAGTGTGGTCTTCATTAAGTTTTTTGGCTTTGAAGTTTACCTAAAAATAGCTGATTTTATAGTTTTGGATATTTTTTTTTTTTTTTTGAAAAGCATGTAAATTGTGGGTTTTTTCTACGAACCGAACTTTGTGTATAATTTATATTGGATACGGTCAAGGAAATCAAGAAAAATTTAGGGAATTTAATTAAAAAATGATTGTTCAAGTACATTTGTACTGAAAAACTATGAAAATTTTTGGTAAATTTTGCAAATATAGCGAAATTTGTAGCTGTTTCGGATAAAGAATTTTTTTGTGATAAAAAAAAAAGAAGAAAACTTACCCTTGTTGAATCTTCTTCTCGTTTGGTATGATCAGCAATGAAACGAATGCCTTCGATGGCTTTATAAAGTTCCGGGCAGTGATGCCAATGATGAAGAGATTTACAAAGAGCGTCCACACTCTCCTCCGTAGGCAGTTGTTGAGGTGGAGCCGGAGTATTCGTTGGGGTCCCGTGAATACGACACGAACTTCCCAAATTAACTCCTTCCATCTCCCTGTACAAGAAATTTTAAATTAATGAAAAATCTCATTTTTTTTCTTTTATGTTTGCAAAATTTTGTTTTTAAATTTGTTCTTCATTTCGAAAAATCTATTATATTTATAAAGAAAAGTAATAAAATTTTTCGAAAATGAAAAAAAAAACTACAAACCTAGGATTCAGTTCGTCTCGAGAATCGAGGCTTGGAAAAAGGACCGAGGACTCAACAAGCTCTGGAGCTGAGGGATCCACAAAAATTGCTGGATCTCGTAGTTCAAGCCCGTTACATGTCCTGATCATAAGTCTATGATTACGATGACCAGTATAACTTCGTTTATCTATTTGGTATTGCGGCCTGAAAATTGAAAATTAATTCAGTTTCAATAAATTTTTATTAATTTTCAAATCCTCCTTGTCCGTATATTTTGAATAAAGAAATAATTTTGAATCAATTTTAAATTAATTCAATTTAAAATTGATTTTAAATCAAGTTAATTTTTAGTAAAAAAGTGACTATTATTGCCCTAGGGTAATAATGGCTGCTTTATTGCCCTTGGATAATAATGGGTACTTTATTGTTCTAGTGTAATAATAGGTTCTTTATTTCCCTAGGGTAATAATGGCTACTTTATTGTCCTAGGATAATAATGGGTACGTTATTGTTCTAGGGTAATAATGGGTACTTTATTGTTCTAGTGTAATAATAGGTTTTTTATTTCTCTAGGGTAATAATGGGTACTTTATTGCCCTAGGATAATAATAGTTACTTTATTATCCTAGTGTAATAGCAGGTTCTTTATTTCCCTAGGGTAATAATGGGTACTTTATTCAGGGTTGCCACATGTCATTAAAGTCAGGGAAATGTCAGTAAAACAAAATTTTTGTCAGTAAAGTCAGGGAAATGTCAGGAAAAACAATTTTTTGTCAGGGAAATTTAGAAAATAGAGATTTTTCTCGACTTATTTTAAAAAATTCTCGACTTTTCTTCCAAATATTACAACAAATTACCACATTTTCAGTTAAAAAAAGTGAAATTTATTTCGATTTTTATAGTGCAAAAAATAACTATAAATAAATCTTTCAAAAATTATTTTAGAATCATTTTTCTGTTTAAATTTTCAAAATGTACAATAAACAAGATTTTGAATAATTGAATTTTTTTTAAATTTAATTGAAAATAATTAATTTTTTAAAAAGTATTTTGTTAGAATTTTTGAAAATCAACTTTTAAAGAATTTTAATTGCAAATGTTTAAACTTTGAAATAATTTAAATATCAAAAATTTTAATGAAAAATCTTTAAACAAAGATTTAATAATGAAAATAAATGAAAATTAGCTTTTAATTTTTTTAAATTTAGGATTTTCTGTATTTTCAATTAAATATTTCTGAAAATTAAAATACACACAAAAAATAATAACATTTTAGAATTATTTTTAAAATTTTTGAGAATCATGTTTAAAATATTTTCATTAAAATTCATCAAAAAGTTAATTAGTTTTTTAAAATAATAATGAAAAAACTCTTTTAAGAAATTCAATTGTTTTTGAACAATTATATTAAAATATTTTTAAAAACTACTTAATTCTTAGAATTTTTTTATCATAATTTTTTAAGGTTTAATTATCTTCGAATAAAGCAAATAAAAATATGCTTTTTTGGACTTATTAACAGTTTGGAGAAATCATGGTAATATTTATAATTAAAATTCTTCAAAAATTTGATTATTTTTGGTTTTTTGAAAATATTTTATCTTAATAAACTTGAAAAAAAACAGTTACAATTATTGTAAAAAATTGAATTTTCGTCTTTCAATAATTTTATTTTTGAAGAGCTTTCGGAAAATTATTTAAAATAATTGATTTAGAGATGAAGTTTAGTTGAAAATTAAAGAAAATAATTGAATTCTGGAAGGGTTATAATTGTAATTTTTAGAAATTATTAAATTTCATAAATTTTACTTATTTTCCGTAAATTCTCATATTTTCCTGTGAAAATAATTTTGTCAGGGAAAATAATTTTAATTTCAGTAAATTTTCAGGGAAATTGATAAACTAAAACTTGTGACCACTCTGTTTCTTGCCCTAGGATAATAATGGGATCTTTATTTCCCCAGGGTAATAATGAGTACTTTATTGCTCTAGGGTAATAATGGGTACTTTACTGCTCTAGGGTAATAATTGGTACTTTATTGGCCTGCGAGCGGTCAATGAAGTACATATTATTGCATAAATAAATAAAAAACAATAAATAATTTAGGGGGGAGAAAAATTTTTCAAAATAAAAAATAGAAAGAAAATTGCTTCATTACCAAAAATTATTTCTAAATCAATACCAAATATTTTTTCTTCGACTATTTTTTTGTTCAGAGTGCTTCTATTAATTATGAGAAAATAGAAAAATAAAAATAAAGGGAGAAAATTGATTTTTTTTCTTTGACTAATTTTGAAATTAAAGGGAGTTGATTTTTTTTCTAAATCATATCTTCTCTGCAAGTGCTATCGCCTAAGTGTAAAGAGTTGAGAGAATTTTTTTGCGTTGTGGTTCTGAAAAACGCTTTGTAGACGAAGTTAGTATTCAAAGAGAACTCTGCGATATATATAATAGACGATTTTTCGCTGACTTCAAGTCCAGAAAAGTTAAAGAGTTGAAAGGCAATTCCCCTTAGGCAACGTTTTCTTTGAAATTTCGCTCGCGATTCTTTTTCTTATTCTTCTTCTTTTTTTTATTACCTGCGCATTACCAGTAGTCGGGGTAGAATATGAATAAAAACGCGACGGACCCATGGAGCCATCACGTGTGTTTGAGGCGATCGGAAATGCACATTGAGCACCACGACAGTCACACAGATGCTGAAAAAAGGGAAATTAGACTTTTTTTTTTTAAATCTCCTTTTTTGAGAAGAAAATTAATTTCAATTTTAATTAATTTTTAATTAAACACTGTGCTAAAGAAAGGTACTGTAATTTAGTACCAAATCGAAATATTATTGTTTTATTTTAATACCGAAATCAGTTATAATTTTTTACATTTTTTTTACAGTGAATTTACATTGAAGTAAATTGTTAATTTATTTAACTACTTTTTAATTAACGTATAAATATTAAATTATTTGAATTTTAATTTACTAAACTTCAATTAAATTTAATGAAATTTTGTTGAAATTTATTTCACTAAATTCAACTTATTTTTAATTTAATTTTCTCCAGGTTAATTTACCTTTTCCTACTTTACCCGTTTACGGTATAAACAACCTCTTACTTAAGGGGAGGGTAAACCTATATTTCCAACTATATGAAGAAACTATTTTAAATATTTAATAAAATTATTTTTATAGTAATTTTTCGAGAGGAATTCAATGGTCATAAAATATTTTGACCCTTTTTGAATTTTTATTTTTTCTAAAAATTGCTAGATTTTAAAATCCATACGTGATTTTGTAGAAAATATGTTTTTGTATCGATAAAAAAATCAATATTTTGACCCTTTTTGAATTTTTATTTTTTCTAAAAATTGCTAGATTTTAAAATCCATACGTGATTTTGTAGAAAATATGTTTTTGTATCGATAAAAAAATCAATATTTACAAAAGTTTTAGTATTTTTTCAAAAAAAAAAAAAAAAAAGTTTTCAGGTTATGAATTCAAAAAAATGATTATTATTACATTTTATTATACGAAAACTCATTTGTTTTTATGTTCTGAAACTAGTTAGAAAAAGAACAAATGAGTTTTCATATAATAAAATTTAATAATAATCATATTTTTTTAAAATCTTAACCTAAAAACTATTTTTTTCTGAAAAAATGCTAAAACTTTTGTAAATATTAATTTTTTTATTCAGCAATTTTTTTATAGATACAAAAACATATTTTCTTCAAAATTACGTATGTATTTTAAATTTAAAATCTATCAATTTAAAAAAAAATCCAAAAATGGTCAAAATATTTTCTGACCAATTTTTTTATGACCATTGAACTCCTCTCAAAAAATGACTATAAAAATAATTCTATTAAATATTTAAAATATTTTCTTTATATAGGTGAAAATATAGGTTTACCTCCCCTTAAAAATGATTTTAGTAATAAAAAGTGTTTTAAATTTTCAAAAATAATTAAATTTCTGAAGATTTAAACTAAAATTCTTGAAAATCGAAATATGTTTCAATGAAGAAATTATTAATGAATATAAATTTATTAATTTATTTTAAAAATTGTTCAATTTTTAAATAATTTTATTTAAAATTCTGAAAAATTGTATTTTTAAGAAATTTTAATTCAATTATTTAAAGATACTTGAATTTTAGAAAAAAATTATCAAATTAAATGAAATTTTGCGAAATTTGACTAAAAATAATACAAATTGTAAACAATTTTGTTAGAGATTAAAAAAAAATTGAAATCTCAAGGAATTTTAATTTAATAATTGGTAAATAATTGAATTTAATTTTACAAAGAGACAAATTAAATATATTGGAATGTTTGTTATTATAAAAAATAGCATTGAATTTTCTCAATTTTATCTAAAATATTTTAACTACAAAATAGTTACAAATTACAATTAAAATTTTTATTAATTAGTTGATGTTAAAAAGATTCAAATTAAAAATTCTTTTAAAAATATTCAAGTTTCGAAAAGTTTTTTTCTAATTCTGAAAAATTAGATTTTTAACTTCAATTCTATTTATTTTTAATGATAATTGAATTTTTATAAACAAATAATTGAGATTTTTTAAAGTTCTCTAAAATTTTGTTAAAAATAATTGAATTTTGAAGAAATTTATTAAAATTTTTGAATGTAATCAAAGACTGTTTCCACAATAATTAATTTTATTTTTAATTAATTTTAACTTTTTTTTTTAAAGATCAGAGTAAATGACGGAGTAGACAGAGAGGGTTAATATAAAATAAATAAATTTAAATTAATTCAAATTTTTGTTTTCCAATTTATTTTTGTTTTATTTATTTTGTTTTCATCTATTTTCTTAAAATTTGAATTTACTTTAACTTTATATGAATTTTTTTCTAAACTTAATTTAATTTGAATTAAATTCAATCTAATTTTAATTAAATTTAATCTAATTTTAATTAAATTTTAGTTTATTTAGTATTTCAAATTTTCCCTGAATTATTGTCAAACAAAGTAGTTTATTTAAATTTTTCATGTACTTCAATTTTAATTTATTGGAAATTTTAATTTACTCAAGTTAATTAAATTTTAATTTGTGTATAAATGATAATTTTGTTTCGCTTCATTTAATTCTAATTAAATTATTATTTATTGGAGTTTAAATTTAATAAGTTTGAAAGCGTCTGTTTACTGAATTTAATTGAAATATGATTTTATAATAAATTTGTTAATTACCTAAATGTATCGAGGATCATTGTGAAGAGGACGAATTTTCCAAGAAGAGGTACCACTAGTGAAGTAGGTGGAATAATTTCGGCGAGCAGGAGGAAGAACACAGTCAGTGATAGCAAAATTGAAATGGAGAGACTCACCTGTAATTTTTAAACAACAAATTTAATTAAATTTTTTTTTTATTTATCTTTTATATAAATATATTCTAATAATTATATTACCTAATATAATTATTTATATTTATGAATTAATTATTAATATTTATTAATATAATTATTTATATTTATGAATTAATTATTAATATATATTAATATATTTATTTATATTTATAAATTAATTATTAATATTATATTTTATATAAATGTTTCATATTTATATTATTTCTTCTTCAAATTTTGAAAGTTGGATTCAATTAAAAAAATCCTTCAACATTTTAATGATTTTTCTATGTTTTACGCAATAATTTGGAGCGCAAAATTAAGTGAGATGTTTCAATTTAAAAATTTCTATATAAAAAAAGTGAGAGAATCATTTTTCAGAAGTGGAAGTATTGTCCCATATTGTCTATAAAATTAATGGAGTCTAGCAGCTGCAACTATAATATCTTTAGAGAACTAAGGTGAAACTGTAAAAGATTGAAAATGAAGGGAGGCAGAAGGTACTTGTCAAGCTTACGACTTTTGTGACCTTCTTTCAACACGAACAATGTCACATAATATATTTAATGTATAATAATAAAACAAAAATAATAATAAAACAAAAATAATAATAATAATAATAATAATAATAAACTTTTTATTTATTTTCCCTGCGTGACAGGTTTTGAGGATCCAATCTAATAATAATAATAACAGTAAAGAGTAAAAATTAAATATTGGTATAGTAAAAATAATATAGGAAAAATAAATTTAACAGATAATTGAATATAAAATAATAATAATAGTAATTGAATTATGAAGTGACCTTAGAACACTCTGGTTGTTGGTTCGAGGTCAAGAGATCGTTGAATGGAGGTCGAGGGATGCAAAAGTTATTGTGCTAAAAGTGCAAGCAGCAGACGAAAAAGCACGGTTTGCTCTTTGTCCTGGCCTTTCTGCTCTAACTGTCATATTCTCGTCTTGAAACCACCTTTCCCTCGACTTATACTTTCGTCTTTTTTTTTTTATCAATTTTCTTTTATAATCTTTAGAATTGCAAATTTATTTTATTATTAAAATTCTTCATTTTTTGTCTTACAATCATAAAAGATACAAAAGTATTAAAAGTGTTGTTTTCTATTATAATTTTAGTTCATTGTTATTTTTTTTTCTTTGGTACTTATATGAATTTTTTGGGGCGTATTTTTTTACTGTTTGCTAGTATTTATTTTTTAATTATTTATCGTATTCCAGGGCTCGAACTAGGTCCGTAAATCCCGTAAAGGTCCGTAAATTTGTTTAAAGTCTGTAAAAGTCAGTTTTTTTTAAATACCCGTAAAGTTCGTAATTTGATTGAAAAAGCAAATAAAGTTCGTAAATTTAACGATATAATTTGGAGAAATTCCATTATTTTCAAAAATTTTAATAAAATTCTTGAAAAAATTCAATTATTTGAAAAAATGACAAAATTCTTCAAAGTTGTTCAATTATTTTTATAAATAGTAAAATTTTTTGAAAAAATTTAATTATTTTTAATACCTACAATTTTAATAAAATTTCATGAAAGAATTCAATTTCTTTAAAAAATTTTTAATAACATTTTTCAAAAGAATCCAATTATTTTCTAAAATTTTAATAAATTCTTCGAAACAATTTAATTATTTTTATAAGTAGTAAAATTAATCGTAAAAATGAATTATTATTATTATTATTATTATTATTTAATGTAATTTAATTATTAATATTAAATTTTTTGATAAAATTATTTGCAAGAATTCAATGATTTACAAATTTTTTATAAATTTTTTTAGAAAAATTCAATTATTTTCGTAATTAATAAAATTATTTTTAGTAATTCAATTACATTCATAAATAATAAAATTTTCAGAGGAATTAAATTATTTTCAAAATTCAACCACAATTTTCATAAAACTTTTCGAAAAAAATCAATTATTTAAAATGATTCTTATAAAATTCTTCGTTAGAATTCAATTATTTAAAAAAAAAAAATTCATAAAGTATTGAAGTATTAAATTATTTTTGAAAATTGTCTTAAAATTCGTTCCAAGAATTCAATTATTTCTAAAAATTTTAATTAAATTCGTCGTATCAATTCAATTATTTTAAAAAATTTAAATAAAATTCTCGTCAAAATTTCAACTATTTTCAAAAAAATGTCATCAATTCAATGATTTTCAATATCTACTATTTTAATAAAATTTTTTAAAACAATTCAATTACTTAAAAAAATTTTAATTAAATTCTACGCAAACATTTAATTATTTTCATAAAATAATAAAAATTTCACAAGAATTCAATTATTTAGAAATTTTTTTTATAAATTTCTTCGCAATAATTCAATTATTTTCATGAACAATAACATTTCTACAGGGATTCAATTATTTTCGCAAATAATGAAGCTCATTGCAGAATTTTATTTATTTTTAATACAATTTTAATCGAATTTTTCGAAAAATCTCAATATTTTTAAAGATTTTATTAAAATTCGTCGAAAGAATTTAATTATTTAAAAATTTGTTGATAATCTTTATGAGAATTCAATTTAAAGAAAAATTCAATTATTCAATAAGTTATTAATTTTTGTATTTCAATAATTGAATTTTCGTAGAATTTTCTAATTAAAATTGATTTAAAAATGAATTTCAGTTGAAATTTTAATCAATAATTGAATTTTGATAATTCAATTATTTTCAGAAGTAATAAAATTCTTCGCAATAATTCAATTATTTTCATAAATAATAACATTTGTTACAGGGATTAAATTATTTTTTTATTAACTGTTAAAGAATTTAAAGAATTTTAGAGAATAAATTCATTTTCGGAAAGAATTTTTGGATTTTTTGGACATAATTTTTCAATTATTTTTTATACAATTTTAATTGAATCCTTCAAAAAATGTAATTATATTCTTAAAATTTTTATTAATATTTGTCGAAAGAATTGAATTATTTAAAAAATTGTTAATAAAATTCTTTATAAGGAATTGAATTTTAAGAAATATTCAATATTATTCACAAAATTGTTTATTTTTGTATTTAAATAATAAATTGAATTCTAGTAGAATTTTCTAATAAAAATTTATTTAAAAAAGAATTTTAGTTAAAAATTATAGAATAAATAATAAATTGAAATAATGAAAATAATTTTAAAAAATATTGAAATTTTGAAAATAATTATTATTATAATGTAAAATAATGATTTTATTTTTAAATACTTTCACTGGTTCGAGCCCTGGTATTCTTTCAGTATTTTTTTTTTTTTTTATATTTTTGTACAATTATTTAAAGTGATTTTATTTTTGTTTCAGGTGCAAAAGGTCTGCGAGTCTTCAAGGTATGTTTCTTAAGAGAATAATATTATCAACTATTATTGGTGAGTGTTTCTAAAATTTTTTTTTATATGTATTTATGTTTATGTAAAATAAAAAAAATATACATATATATTTATATTTTTTCATATGTCTTTCGACATTTATTTTGTTATTGTATATTGATTTGCTCTATCCTGCGAATACTCGGAGGAGCTCTTGAAAAAAGCAACGATGGATTTTTCATGTCCCTTTTTTACACTCGAGAAGTTTTTTTTATTTTTTTTTTCTGTGAATACCTTTTAAAAAGCCCATTTAAAATATATAGGAGAAATACACAACAGTAGAAAAAAAATATTTTTTTCTCTACTTAATACTATATTTATTATACACTCTAAATCTGAATCAGTGTCAATTTCACTGATTTTGATATATAGTGGTCGAGTTTTCTTTGATGAGTCAGCGCAATTTTCGCACTGTTCCAAATTTAAAGAAGTAATAATTTTTCATTTAAATTAAAAAAAAAATTATTCACATTCTGAATCTAGTGAAAATTAGTGAATGATTTTTTACTCTTAATGCAGAAAAAAATAAGGTCTTTAAAATTGTTTATATTTTTTTGAAACAAATTGATTTGAAAATTACACTATTTTCGTGCTAAAAACTAAATTAAGTCTTACTCTCTAAATTTAAATTATTAAAAATGTTTACTAATTTGAATTAGTAACTGAATTTTTGTTTTTGAGTAAACAAAAATAAAAAAAAAAAAAAGTAAAAAGTAAAAAAGTAAAAAATTTACTTTACTAGTAAATTAATGGTAATTTCTACTAATTTATTAGTAAAATTGACTAATTCAAAAGCAAAATGTCAGTTACTAATTCAAATTCTTAAACATTTTTAAAATTTATTGTAATAATTTAGTAGGACAATTTTTTAAAAAATATTTTTTTATAAAATTAAACTTATTCAAAAGTAAATAGGCAGTTGAATGCCTCAAAATGATTGAAAATAATTAGTAATTTACAAATTTAAATAATTTAGTAAATTACTAAATAAATGAATTAGTAATTTACGAATTTAATTAAATTAATAATTTACTAAATTAAATACATTAGTAATTTATGATTATATTTAAAATATTATTTACCAATTTATTTAATATTAGTCATTTACTAATTTATTTAATTACTAAAATTTGACTAATTCAAAAGCAAAAAGTCAGTCACTTTTTGAAAATTGCAGTTACTAATATTTAAATAAATAATAATTTTTCATAATTAAAATTTAAAAAGAGATGAAAAATAAATATTTTCGAAAAATCATTTACCTTTTCGCCACTATCACTGGGTAGATAAAAGACCAATACTGTGAGAAAAGATATTCCCATACAGGGAATAATGAGATTGACAGTATAGAAAAGTGTTTTTCGCCTCATGGTGATGTTGAACGTGATGTCGAGATAGGGTTCATCGCAACACGTATAAAACTTTTCATTCCTGAAAAGAAAAATGAGAATTATATACATGAACATATAGATTTTTTCTTCTCAAGATTACTTCTTTTCAATATGAGAAGTGCAAAAAAAAAGAAAATCTTACGATAATGCATATTTATATTAGTATTTCTCATGTAAATATTCCGTGATGGTTAAACAAATTTCGTTTAATATTCTTCTAAATTTGTAATATTTTTTTATACATAAGTAAATATATAATAAATAAATAATACATTATTAATTAATTAAAAATAAATATACGAATATATAAAATAATTTAATAGAAAAAATAAAATATTTGAGATAAATGAATTTATTTTTTTTTATTTTTACTACTTTTTTAATTATTTTTATTGTTTTCTTAAATAATTATTCAATTCACAATAGTAAATAAATAAAATAATAAGTAATTTATTTGATAAAATTATGAAATTAAATTTGTTTAAACCAAAGAATCTATTTTGAAAAATATTTGTTTTCTATTTTTTTTCTTTTTAATTTTTTATTATTTTTATAAACTTAAATAATATTTTTTATTATATCTAATTAAGAATAGTAAATAAAAAAAAAATATTTAAAATTTATTTTATTTCTCTCTCAATTTGAATTAGTAAATAAGTTTAGGTACTAATTTAAATTAGTGACTGACTTTTTGCTATTGAATATTAATAAATTTTACTTATAGATTAATTGAAAATACTATTAATTAAGAACATTTACTAATTCTAAAGCAAAAAATCATTCACTATTTCAAATTAGTAAACATTTTTACAAATTCAAATTAAGAGAGAAAAAAAATTGTTTTTTAAATATTTTTTAATATATTTTACTTTTTGCTATTGAATTAGTAATATTTTACCAATAAATTAGTTAAAATTACTATTTATTAGTAAAATTTACTAATTCAAAAGTCAGTCAGATTAGTAGACATTTAAAGAATTTATTTTTAAATTTTTGTATTCCATATAGCTAAATATTAGTAGTAAATAAAAAATAAGTTAATTAATAATTTATTCAATTAAATTAGGAAACAAATTTTAAGCCGGAAATATTTTAAAATATATTTGCCTTTATTGTTTTATTTCATTTTTATTTATATCAATAATAATTTATACTAAAATATTTGTTTGTTAACAGAGAAAAGGTCAATTTTTTTCTTTGAATTATAAAAATTAAATTTTTTATATTTTCAAGTAGTCAATGACTATATTTGGTCAGACATAATAATAGTAATAAAATTCTTTTCAAAAATTCAATTATGTTTAAAAACTTTTAAAAATTCTCGTAAAAATTTCAATTATCTTTAGAAATAATTCAATTATTCTTCTCTGAAATTCAATTATTTAAAAAATTTTTAATAAAATTCTTGGAAAAATTTCAATTATTTTCAAAAATTTTTCTCAATTCAATGATTTTTAATATCTACCATTTTAATAAAATATTGCAAAAGATTTCAATTATTTAAAAAAAATTTAATAAAATTCTACACAAACTTTTAATTATTTTCTTAAAATAATAAAAATTTCACAGGAATTCCATTATTTAATAATTTTTTTAATAAATTTTCTTCGTAATTATTCAATTATTTTTAATACAATTTTAACCAAGTTTCTCGAAAAATGTAACTTAAAATTTTTATTAAAATTTATCGAAAGAATTGAATTATTTAAAAATTTGTTGATGAAATTCTTTATAAGTATTCAATTTTGAGAAACATTCAATTATTCAATGAATTAATTTATTTTTCTTTTGAAATAATTGAATTCTCTTAGAATTTTCTAATAAAAATTGATTGAAAAACAAATCTCAGTTGAAATTTTAAATAATTGAATTTTAAAGGCTATAAATTTTTAGAAATAATTGAATTTTGAAAATTCAATTATTTTATTTATTTATTCAATACACATTGTTTATGACCTATAATGGTTATTACAAGTCAGGAATTCTTTAATTATTTTTTATACAATTTTAATTGAATTCCTCAAAAAAATGTAATTATTCTTAAAACTTTTATTAAAATTTGTCGAAAGAATTCAATTATTAAAAAATTTGTTGATAAACTTCTTTATAGAAATTGAATTTTAAGAAACATTAAGTTATTCAATAAATTATTTATTTTTGTATTTAAATAATTGAGTTCTAGTAGAATTTTCTAATAAAAATTTATTTAAAAATTAATTTCAGTTAAAGTTTTAAATAATAATTGAAATGATAATGATTTTATCATTCGGTCATCTTTAATTATTATAAAACATGAAGAATTCGATCACTCCGAGTCGAAGACTGTGAGTTATCGATATCTTCGTGTTTTATAGTTATGAAAAAATTTAATTTATTGTTTTAAGTAAAATGTTCTCTTATTTCACTCGAACTGGTTACATTTTTGTCAACTTTTCAATTTTTTGTCATCATTCAAAGAAATAAAATAGATTTTGTCTGTTAATAGAAAAAAAACAAATTATTATTGATATGGATAATAATAGAATATAAAAATTAATGGTATATATTTTTTGCAATACTTCCGGCGTAAATTTTTTATTAGTAATTTAATATTGAATTATTAATTTTCTTTAAAAGTGACAAAGTGTTGTGGAGTGAATTAAAAAGTTTGTAAATGAACTAATGAATTAATAATAATTATTGAACAATAATTACCTAACGGCTGGAACTTCTAAAATATCCCATTCGACCGAAGGGTAAAATTCAGATAAGTCAACACCAATATCCACAACATTACTGCCTCGAATTTCATCGTTGTGCCTCAGGTCGACCTGGAATGCGAAATGTCCTGTTTCAAAGCATTATCGACAGAATGTTCTCTGACAACTCTTTGCTTTTAAAACCAAAGAGATTCCAATTCTCCATTTCAAGTCGAAAACAAAAATAAACACACACAAAAAAAATATAGGTAACAGTATTATAGTATAAAAAAGATTCTATTTATTTTTTTTTTCTTTTGAAGGAAAAAAAAAATAATAACTGCACTGTATCGAATTTTAAATTATTTAATATTGAAAATAATGCTATAAATGAAGTTGAGGAAACAAATTGATATGAATTCAATTGAAAGGAAAAGGGATGAGGGAAAAATTACATTGAGAAAAAAAAGGAAGAAGAAAAAATTACTGAACCTCATCGTGTCTATATATAGGTATATGTAGGGAATAAATTGAAAAGGAAAGGGAAGCAAAATAGAAAAACTATTAGATTGGAATAAAGTTTTTATACTCGATTTATATTGAACCGATTAAGTAGACGTTTCCTTCGTTTTTATTTTGAAATATCCCGTCTACCTTCCTTTTTTTTATACTGACTTTCAATGTTGGAATAAAGGGACAAAACGAAGCCACTTATGTTTCTCGATACGCCGGCTTTTCTACTGCCAAGAGCTAAACGAAGCACTTTTAGACTGGAGATTTTTTTTTTCAGTAGTGGAAGTTTATCAGTGCCAAAAGTTTACCTGTACTTGTGTCTATAATTTTACCAAATTCACTGGATGTAAAAAAAAAAATTCTTTCGAAATATTTTTTTCTTCTATATTTTTGATTCTTTCGATTCATTAAAAATACTCGAAAAAATTAAATTTTTAAAATTCATAAGAAAATTCTAAATTTTTGTGTCATTTTTATTAACTATAAACTATAAACTTTCTTGTAAACTATAAAATTACCACGAATTCTAAATCGAAACCTTCAAATTTTTCAATTTCTGACAATAATTTCTTTTTAAATAACTTAATTCTTGAAAAACTATATCATAAAATTATTATTTTTATAAATTATTTAATGAATAATTTTACTCAAATATTTCAAAATTATTTGAATTCTAAAAGAGTTGCGTTCAAAAATTAAAAAAAAGAATTCTCGTCAAAATTTCAATTATCTTAATAAATAATAAAATTCTTCTCCAAAATTCAATTATTTTCAAAAATTTTTTTTAAAATTCTTGGCAAAATTTCAATTTTCAAAAAGAATTTTCTCAATTCACTGATTTTCAATATCTACTATTTTAATAAAATCTTCCAAAAGAATTCAATTATTTAAAAAAAATGTAGATAAAATTCAGCGCAAACCTTTAATTATTTTCACAAATAATAAAAATTTCACAGCAATTCAATTATTTAAAAGAAAATTAATAAAGTTCTTCGAAATAATTCAATTATTTTTATAAATTATGAAATTTTTGACAGGAATTCAATTATTTTTAAAAATTTTAATGAAATTCGTTACAAGAATTCAATTATTATTTTCAAATAAATTTTAACTAAATTCCATTAAGCTATAAAATTATTTTCAAAAATTATTTCAAATGTTATTCAAAAATTATAATTCATCGCAGAAGTTCATAATTATTTTCAAAAATTTTAATTATTAAAATTCTTGTCAAGAATTCAATTATTTTCAGAAATTTTATAAAAATTCTTGTAAAGAATTTAATTATTTTAATAAAAAAAAATAATAAAATTTTTGCTGGAATTTAATTATTTTTTTAAATTTTCGGCAAGAATTCAATTAAATTTCAAAATTTTTATTACATTCTTCACCGGAATTCAATTATTTTCATTGTATAACAAAATTCTTCGCAGAAATTCAATTATTATCACAATTTTTAGTAAAATTCTTTGCAAAAATTCAATTATTTTTAAAATTTTTAATAAAATTCATTGCAAGAATTCAATTATTTTTATAATTAACAAAATTCTTCTTGTCAATTCAATTTTCCAATACAATTTTAATAAAATTTCTCGACAAGATTCAATTATTTTTTTCAAAAAATTTTTATAAAATTCTTCGATAGAATTCAATTATTTTCAAAAATTGTAATATAATTCAGCGCAGAAATTCAATTATTTTCAAAAATTTTGATAAAATTATCAAAACAATTTTAACTAAATTCAATTAAGGAATGGAATTATTATAAGTAATAAGTATGAAATTCTTCGCTGTAATTCAATTATTTTTTGTAATTTTATTAAAATTCTTGACAAGAATTCAATTATTTTTCAAAAACTTTTATTACATTCTTGGCCAAAATTCAATTATCTTTATAAATAACAAAATTCTTCGCAAAAACTCAATTATTTTCAATAGAATTTTAATCAAGTTTCTCGAAAATATTTAATTATTTTTAAAAAATTTTCAATTTTAACAAAATTCCTTTAAAGAATTGAATTATTTCCAAGAATTTTAATATAATTAAACGCAGAAATTCAATTATCAAAAATTTTAATAAGATTCTTCTCCAAAATTCAATTATTAAAATTAAAATTCGTCGTAGGAATTAAAATATTTACAGTTCTAAAATTTATCAATTAAATTTTGATAAATTATATGATTTTTAATTAATTTAAAAAAATGTCCCTTTATGAGAATTCAATTTTAAGAAACATTCAGTTATTCAATAAATTATTTATGTTTGTATTTAAATAGAATTCTGGTATAGAAATTTTTAATAAAACTAGATTTAAGAATAATTATTTAACATTTTGAATAACAACTGAATATTATCCAAATTATAGTGTGAATTTTTTAGAAATAATTGAATTTTGGAAAGTTTCAAATTTAATTTTTTGAAGATTTGAATTTTTCATAAACTTGTACTTAAAAATTCTGTAGAATTTTAGTTTTTTAAAAAAGTTTAATTAAATTTTTATTTTGAAATATTTTTTAAATTGATTTTGAAAATTCAATAAAAAATTTATTTAAAAAAGAAGTTGTTGATGTTTTCGAATAATATTTTACAAGTAAAGAAGTTTGTAAATAAGTGTAATAGAAAATATTTTTGAGTATACAATAATTTTTAGAGTGAATAAGAATATTATTTTAGGATCAGGGAAAAAGTGACCCTCACAGCACCGGGATATTCAGGATATCCCAGAGACGTCCTGGGGATATCGATTTGTTTTCGGAAGTTTGGATATCTCTGGGATATCCTAGGGACGTCCATGGATATCCAGAGGATAATCCAGGGATATCCAAACTTCCGAAAACAAATCGATATCCCCAGGACGTCTCTGGGATATCCTGAATATCCCGGTGCTGTGAGGGGAAAATTTTGTCTGTAAATTAGAGAAAAGTGAGGGAAAAACAAAATTAAATTTCTGTGCTAACCCAGTATATTCCTCTATTTCTTTTTTTTATATTCACTTCTTCAATATTTATCTCAAGAGGGAGATTTTTACTATTTTTTTTAGTGTTCCCACCATTTTTCTTCTTCAATTTGTTCAAAATTATGAAATCTGTGTAATTGGCGAATTTTTTTTTTTTTTTGTAATAAAACTTTCACTGTTGTCAGTATTTCGATAAAAATTATTTTTACAGAATCGAAAATTGCTGAAAGTTTTGAAACTAAAAAAACTGTTGAACCTCTAAAGAAAATAGTTGAATTTTTTTTTGATTCTGAGGGAATTTTTTTTTGACTCTCTGGGACCAATTATTACGTATATAATTCATGGTACACGTAACTCTTGAATTTGTGGAAAAAAATACATTCTTTTATTTTTTGAGAAATACTTTGTCTTGGGAAAACAAGGTCAAAGAGAGGGAGAATGAAAAAAGGAGAGAATGATTGACATTTGAAGCTCTCTTCGGAAAGGGTCGTTTACTTAAATAAAAAAAAAGTCTCAAGTGACTTACTTAGAGATCTAAATAGCCCCAGGGGGATTTCTCTTTTATGCGCCAATAAAAATAATAAATTTTATTGAAAATATATTGAATTGCGGATGGAAAATATTTTTTTATTATTAAATGCTAAAAGAGTGTGATATTGTTTATTAGTTTTAAAATTGTTCAGTTGTAGTTCCAATAAATTTTCAGTCACTTTTTTTATTTCTTTTTATTTTAATTATGGCGGTTACAATTTTGTACTAAAACTTTTGTAAAAAAAATCATAACTACTAAATACTGAATTTTTACTATAAAAGTTAGTAAATATTTCTTATGGTACGAACAGGGCTCGAACTTAGGTGAAATAATTGCAAAAATTCAATTAATTTCAAAAGTAATAAAATTCTTTGCAGTAATTCAATTATGTTCAAAATTGTTTTTAAATTTCAATTATCTTTATAAATAAGAAAATTATTCTCAAAAATTTTTGAAAAATTTTAATTATTTAGAAAAATAACAAAATTTTTCAAGGTTATTCAAATACTTCTATAAATAGTAAAATTTTTTGCAAAAATTCAATTATTTTTAATACGCAACTTTAATAACATTTCATGAAAGAATTCAATTTTTAAAAAAATTCTTAATAACATTTTTCGAAAGAATCCAATATTTTTCTAAAATTTTAATAAATCCTTCGAAACAATTCAATTATCATCAAATTCTTTGATAAAATTCTTTGCGAGTATTCAATAATTTGCAAATTTTTTCGCAATAATTTAATTAATTTTATAACTAATGTAAAATTTTTACAGATTCAATTATTTTTGAAAATAATAAAATTCTTTTTATGAATTCAATTATTTTCATAAATTTTAAAATTTTCGAATTTAATTATTTTGCAAACACAATTTTCATAAAATTTTTCTAAAAAAATCAATTACTTAAAATGATTTTTATAAAATTCTTCGCTAGAATTCAATTATTTAAAACAATTTTGATAAAATTCTCGGCAAAAGGTACAATTATTTTTAAAAATTTTCCTGAATTCAATGATTTTCAATATTTATTATTTGAATAAAATTTTCCAAAAGAATTCAATTATTTAAAAATATTTAATAAAATTCTGCGCAAACATTTAATTATAAATTAAATGTTAAAAATTTTTTTTTTATTTAATTATAAATTTTATTAAAATAATAAAAATTTCACAACGAATTCAATTATTTACCAATTTTTTTTATAAATTTCTTCCCAATAATTTCATTATTTTCATAAATAATAAAACTCATCATAGAATTTCAATTATTGTAAATTCAATTTTAATAGAATTTCTCGAAAAATGTAATTATTATTAAAAATTTGATTAAAATTTGTCAATAGAATTGAATTATTTACAAATTTATTGATAAAATTCTTTATGGAAATTTAGTTTTGAAAAACATCAATTATTCAATAAATTAATTTATCTTTCTTTTTAAATAATTGAATTCTCTTAGAATTTTCTAATAAAAATTGATTGAAAAACGAATCTCAGTTAAAATTTTAAATAATTGAATTTTGAAGGCCATTCATTTTTAGAAATAATTGAATTTTGATAATTCAATTATTTTCAGAAAAAATAAAACTCTTCGCAATAATTCAGTTATTTTTATAAATTGATAACATTTGTTAATAAAATTGATTTAAAAATGAATTTCAGTTAAAATTTTAAAGATAATAATTGAATATTAAAAGCATTATAGCATGATATGAATTTTTAGAAATAATTTAATTCTGAAAAGGTTTTAAATTAAAATGTTTGAAAATTAAAATTTTAACTAACAATTTTGTGAAATTAATATTCTTCAAAAGGTTTAATTGAATTTAAAAAAAAATTTTTTTGAAGTTATTATTTTCTAATATTTATTTAATTGAACAATTTTCGAATAATTGAAATTTCGTAAAATTGAATTGTAAACAAATGGATTTGAAAATTGTCAAACAATATTTTCGAAAATTATTAAAAATAATTGTTTAAAGAAGAATTTTAGTTTAAAATTCTAGAAAATAATAATTGAATTGAAATATTGAAAATAATTTTGTAGAAGTTGGAGTAAAAAAATTCATATAATATGAAATAATGATTTTATTAATTTGTAATTTTTAATTATTATAAAATATGAAGAAAGCGATTACTGCGAGTCGAAGATTCGGAGTTATCGATATCTTCATGTTTTATTTATTTATTTTATTAATTTGTTTATTTATTTTTTAGTTATTTATTTATTTTATTTTTTTTTTCTTAATTTCTTTAATAATAATTTTATTGTAGATTTCTGTGAGAATAATTTAAACATAAAGTGACTGAAAATTATTAGAAATTATTTGTTTATTATAATTTTTGAATTAGTAAATAAATTTCCACTCCTTTCAATTTTTTCCCCTAATTATTAGTGATAATATTTGGAAAAATATTCAATATGTGTTTATAATAAATTAGAAAGAAAATATTTGTTATATAGAAACTTATTGGAAAACAAATGACGTTAATGCGATCTGGGTTAAAGGCCAGGCACGTAATCGCGTTTACTGGAAATGCCTGTCCAACCTTGAAGATGAGTGGAATGCAGAATTGGAATATCTCCCTTATTAGGGAAGGAACCTTCGCACGTGACGAGTCCACTACGATGTTGAGGAATTTACGCTTTCGATTTCCCATTATTATAAAAATTTTCCCAACCACTTGAGGGAAAATTCGGAAAAAGGCCCTTTTAATAATCCTTGAATTGGAAAAGTCAAAAGTTTATTATTTTTAATTTCATTTGGCAAAAAATTTTCAAAATTTCCCTTTTAATAATTCTTGGATTGGAAAAATTTATTATTTTTCGTTTCATTTGGCAAAAAATTTTCAAAATTTCCCCCTCAATTTTAGTTTTAGAAAAATGAAATTTTTTTCTTTACAGTATTTTTAGAAATGTCAGTAAAATGTTTTTTTAAAGATTTTTTAAAGTTTTTCCTAAATTTTTCTAAAATTAATTAATTAATCTTAATTTTTTTTTTCAAATGAAATTGTTATTAAGCACTATGAGAATGTGAAAAATTTGTAATCAAAAAAAGTTTTTATTATTTTTCGAGGGAAAAATATATTTTTTCGTCTATAATAATCGATCATTGTTAGAATGAATAACTTCATCAACGTTTATATATTGAAATTGACATTGTAAAAAAAGTATTTCTGTAAAATATGCTTTTCCTCTTTTTTGATATACACAAAAAAATTAGAGAATCAGTTTTCAGATTAATTGCTTTTTTTTTTGTCGATACCTGAAAGCCATCGTACGTCCATGAACCGAATTTCATAACGCATGTTTGTTCATCGAATGGAAAGTATTCGACGTCAATTTCACAGGAAGACTTGTAAATCGCCGGTGGTTTCCACTCGACTCTACCCGTGTAATTTAAAGTTGCTTTTGTCGCTAGTGTCACCTCGAAATTACCATCGGCACTGAAAATAAAGAAAAGAAAAAATAAATTAATTAGAAATTAATTTCTTAATTATTAATTAGAAAAAAAGTTCCTGGGAATGAGACCGAGAAATTTACGTGAATTTCTCGCAGTCTAATTTCCAAGAACTTTTTTTTTACGTTAATATTTTTTTTTTATTTTTCTATAATTTTATTGTTGGGAAATATTTTTCTTACTTGTTATATAAAACTATATCAGGTCTCCAAATATGGTCAGAGGGCACATGTAGCATTTCCACTCCACCGTACTCCTTGGGATCCCATTTCAATTTGTAATCGTACCACGACTGAAACAAAAAAAAGGTTTCATTATTTTTATTCATATTTCAGATTTTATTTCGCTATTTAAGTAAATGTACAGTTTTACTCTATAAATTTATATTTCTTTTATTTAATTATATAAAATTAGTTAAAATTCGAAAATTAGTTAAAAATAACTAATTTGATAGTAAAATGTCAGTCATTGATTCAAATAGTAATATTTTACTGATGAAATATAGTAAATAGTAATTAATTATTAGTTAAATTCACTTTTAAAGTTAGTGTTATAAAACTTTTTAAATTAATATTTATTTGTTATTAAGTAGTGAAGCACTTGTTTAGTCAGACAAAATTGGTTTTTATTCTTGCAAATATATTATCAGTAGTATATAAGAATAAAAATCAGACGCAAAAGATTAACAATTTTTGGAAATTTGAAATCAGTAGTAAAGCAGCCAGGTTGTCCAGATACCTTGAAAATCTTGAAAAGTACTTAAATTTTTTTTGCTCCTTGAAAACCATGAAAACACCTTGAATTTTATGAAAAAACCTTGAAAAATTAAAATTCTTAGAAATGAGATTAATTTCCTTGATTTTTTAAGTTGAATTCTTGTCAATATTATTGTTGTATTTTAAGAAATTCGGTTTTTTAAATTTTTGATAATTTTTGATAATTTTAAATTTTTTACCAAAGGGTGAAGACAATTAAACAAGTCAAATATTTTTCAAGAGCACAAAAATAATAAAGCCAAATGCCATAAAAGAGAAGAAAAAATGTTGAATTTTAAGAAATTTGGTTTTTCGAATTTTTGATAATTTTTAATAATTTAAAATTTTTAATCAAAGGGTGAAGACTATTGATTAAGTAAAGTATTTTTAAAGAGCCCAAAAATATTGAAGCTAAATGTCATAAAAGAGAAGAAAAAATGTTGAATTTTAAGAAAATCGGATTTTTGAATTTTTTCGAATTTTTTATAATTTTAGATTTTTTACCAAAGAGTCGAGACTATTAAATAAGTAAAGTATTTTCCAAAAGCACAAAAATAATGAAGCTAAATCCCATAAAAGAGAAGAAAAAATGTTGAATTTTAAGAAAATCGGTTTTTCGAATTTTTTCGAATTTTAGATATTTTATCAAAGGGTGGAGACTATTATATAAGTAAAGTCTTTTCAAAGAGCCCAGAAATAATAAAGCTTAATGCCATAAAAGAGAAGAAATAATGTTGAATTTTAAGAAATTCGGTTTTTTGAATTTTTTCGAATTTTTAATAAATTTAAATTTTTAACAAAAGGATAGAAAGAGGCTATTAATTAAGTAAAGTGTTTTTGAAGAGCCCAAAAATAATAAAGCTAAATGCCATAAAAGAGAAGAAATAATGTTGAATTTTAAGATATTCGGTTTTTCGAATTTTTGATAATTTTCAATAATTTTAAATTCTATACCAAAGGGTGAAGACAATTAATAAACAAATTTTCGTATTTTTAGTAGTATAAGATATTTTCAGTCAGACATAGTGGTTTGCATTCTTGTAAAAATATTATTAGTAGTACAAGAATAAAAATCAGACGCAAAAGTTTAAGTTTAGACATTTTTAGTAAAATCTATTCTGATCCGATGAATAGTATAATTTTTTTATGTAATTTTTTGCTAAACTCTTCTGAATTGTTAGTAGTAGAACACGTTCTCAGTCAGACGTATTATCAGTTTTTTCAGATATATTGAAAGTAGTAAATAATTTATCACTAGAAAAACATACTTTTTATAGATGAAACTTCTAGAAACGTTCTTAATTTGTTTTAAGTAGTAAAACCCTGATTCAGTCAGACAAATTCGTTTTAAATCAATTATTTTGTATTAAGTAGTGAAGCAGTTGTTTAGTCAGACAAAAATGGTTTGTACTCTTGTAAATATATTATCAGCAGTACAAGAATATAAATCAGACACAGAAGTTTACATTTTTTTAAAATTTGAAATTAGGTTTTTCTAAAACACTTTTAAACAGGTATTTTTAATTTTTTTTTAGCTAATTTCTGTTAGTTCTTGTTAGTAGTAGAACACATTTTTAGTCAGACTGTGTTATTTTTTGAAAATCTGTCAATAGTAGTGGGTAAATAATTCAATATTAAAATTTAAAAGATAATTACAGATTCTCTAAACTTTTAATCTTTGTTAAAATTGTTGTAAGTAGTAAGACACCGATTTAGTCAGACAACGTTTTGAAAGAATTGTTTTTTTTATTAACTATAAGTAGAACACTTGTACCGTCAGACCGAAATGGTTCATATTCTTGTAAAAATATAATCAGTAGTACAAGAATATAAATCAGACACAGAAGTTTAGAATTTAAAAAAAATTTTAAATCAGTAATTAAACAGCATTTTAATCAGACAAGTAGTTTAAATGTTCAGATAATTTCTTTTAGCATCGATACAGTAGCAATGACAGTAACAGTTAATAATAATTTTTTTTTTTTTGCAAAACTTGTAAGTGTTTCAGTGATAGAAGGCATTTTAGTCAGACAACATTGTTAATTCTCGTTTATTTACTATTAGTAGTAAAACCCTGCTTTGGTGCGACAGTACGAGTATCTTTAATACCTGTACTAATTTATTGTCCGCAGTAAAGTACAGCTTTTCTCTTCAGGTGAAAATTAAATAAAAAAAAAAAATCGTTTTCGAATTATGGTGGTAGTAGTAAATAATTTAATACTTAAAAAACATCATTTTTAGATAGAAGAAACAAAATTTAGTACAAAAATGTTTTTAGTCAAATTTTGCGTTTTGATAATTCCGGGACAAAATAAAAATTTTTTTTGATGTTTCTTTTAGAAAAGAATAAAATTTGATATAAAATACTTTAGTTATAAATTATAATAGTAGTTTAGATATAAATTTTTCTATTTACGTACATGTAAAGAAAATTTTCTGGTCCCTAAAGGTTTCTTATATATGTTTAACATATACAGAAAAACTAAATTTAAAAAAAAATTCTTTTCCTCGAAGTCAGATTTTATGATACGAAAATTATATATATACATATAATGGAAGAAGGAAGGGAAAAATGTGAAAATCCAAGTTTTTACAGGGTGTCGGAAAATAGCTTACTACATGTGCTTTTACGAGAAGCATGAGATGCGGGGACTAGTAACAATGTCGACGGGATTGTCTAACACTTTGAAACAACCCTGTAATCGTAACACGAGCCTCGTATCTCCACGCTCGTAACTCAAGGCTTCTAGTATTTCGTAGATTTTCCTGGAGGCATTGCTTTAAAAAAAAAACAAGAAAAATGTCCGGAAGTTTTATTTGAATGCACTCCTGTTAGGGGCGAAAAGTAGAAAATATTTTCACCCACCTTTTCTTCTGTTCGAAAATATATATTCTATTCACATTTGCAAATTTTACTTCTGATTTTATATTCTTTTTATTATCTTATTTACTTTTGGAAAATTCAATTTTATGATTTTTATATTAAAATTTTTATACATTATAATTTTTACTGCAGAATTTTATTTTTCTACTTTTATTTATAATTTTTATACAGTCGAACCTGTCGGAATGCAACTCTCAGAATAATCTACTTTTTGCGCAATTTATTTTAAAGAAAGGAATTATATTTGAATTAAACTAAAAAAAAATTCTCATAAATTTGTTAAATTACAATACATTGCAAAAGTTTTATTTTAATCAAATTCTTATATGCGAAATTCAATTATTTTTATAAAAAAAAAATTCTTCGCAAGAATTCAATTATTTTTATAAATAACAAAAAAATTCTTCCCAAGAATTCAATTATTTTCGTAAATAATAAAATTCTTTCGAAGAATTCAATTATTTTTTAAAAATTTTTATTACATTCTTGGCCAAAATTCAATTATTTTTATAATTTATTTATATAAATTTATAACAACAATTCTTGATAGGAATTCAATTAGTTTTGTAAATGATAAAATTCTTAGCAAGAATTCAATTATTTTCGTAAAGAATAAAATTCTTTTGAAGAATTCAATTATTTTTCAAAAATTTTTATTACATTCTTGGCCAAAATTCAATTATTTTTATAATTTATTTATATAAATTTATAACAAAAATTCTTGATAGGAATTCAATTACTTTCGTAAATGATAAAATTCTTAGCAAGAATTCAATTATTTTTTATAAATAACCAAAAATTCATCCCAATAATTCAATTATTTTCGTAAATCATAAAATTCTTCCGAAGAATTCAATTATTTTTATAATTAACAAAAATTCTTCTCATGAATTCAATTATTTTTATAAATAAAGAAAATTCTGGACAGGAATTCAATTAGTTTCGTACATGATAAAATTCTTAGCAAGAATTCAATTATTTTTTATAAATAACCAAAAATTCATCCCAATAATTCAACTATTTTCGTAAATAATAAAATTCTTCCGAAGAATTTAATTATTTTTATAAATAACAAAAATTCTTGACAAGAATTCAATTAGTTTCGTACATGATAAAATTCTTAGCAAGAATTCAATTATTTTTTATAAATAACCAAAAATTCATCCTAATAATTCAATTCTTTTCGTAAATAATAAAATTCTTCCGAAGAATTCAATTATTTTTATAAAGAACAAAAATTCTTCTCAAGAATTCAATTATTTTTATAAAGAACAAAAATTCTTCTCAAGAATTCAATTATTTTTATAATTTATTTATATAAAGTTATAACAAAAATTCTTGACAGAAATTTAATCATTTTTGTAAATGATAAAATTCTTAGCAAGAATTCAGTAATTTTCGTAAAGAATAAATTTCTTCGCAATCATTCAATTTTTTTTATAAATAATCAAATTTCTACATGGATTAAATTATTTTTGTAAATAAAATTCTTTTTAGTAATTCAATTATTTCCATAAATAATGAAACTCATCGAAGAATTTTAATTATTTTTATTACAATTTTATTTGAATTTCTCGATAAATGTAATTATTCTTAAAAATTTTATTACAATTTGTCAAATAATTCAATTATTTAAAAATTTGTTCATTAAAT